TTATTTTTTAACATTTTATTAGGGACTGGGTCTCACTGAGTTGCTGAGGCTGGCTTTGATCTCAAGAGCCTCCTGCCTCAGCCTCCTGAGCTGCTGGGATTACAGGCATGTGCCACTGCACCTGGCACAAGCACCAAATTTTAATCTTAATTAGTTGATGATACCATGACCAACTTAAAACACTCCAAACTAAAGTTTTACTATATGTGTATACACGTTTTAAGTTGTGTCCAACTTATAATACATATGTTTTTATGTGGGCATAAAACCTTCACTTTTTTTTTTCTTTTAATGAGCTCTTTTCACTGAGCTCCAAACAAGGCCATCCAGGTCAGTGAGAAATCAGGCCTCCTCTCACCTCTACGACTTGCATCCTTCTCCAGTTTGTTTGCCAAGATCAAGAGTCTTGATTGTGTCAAGTAGAATCAGGAGGCTGCAGAGGCTGCCACTGATTGTCAGGTGGGAGGCAGCACCGGGCTCTTCTTTTCTTTCTTGTCTTTTTTATGGTACTAGGGATGGGACCCAAAGTCTCCTGAATGCTAGGTGAGCGCTCCAGCACTGAGCACAGCCCCAGCCATAGCCCAGGGCTTTTCTTTTGATGGTGAATGGCTGAGCCCTCATATCATTGACTCTCTGCCATTTGTTTTTTTCTTTCTTTTCCTTTTTTTTTTGGTTCTAGGGATTGAACCCAAGGGCGGTTAACCACTGAGCCACACCCCCCAGCTCTTTTTATGCTTTATTTAGATACAGGGTCTCACTGAGTTGCTCAGGGCCTTGCTAAATTACTGAGGCTGGTTCTGAACTCGCCATCCTCTTGCCTCAGCCTCCCCCGAGCCGCTGGGATGACAGATGTGCGCCATGACACCCGGCTGTCTGCCATTTCTGAACATTTTATTTCAAATATTTTCAATTTTTATCCATTGCTTAAAGCAGGGTTGTTTACTTGGGGGCCCTGCGATAGTTCACAGATACAATGTGGGAAGTCCATGAACTTGACTGGGAATACAATTACCTATTTATTTATTTATTTATTTTTGCAATACTGGGGATGGAAACCCCAGGGCCTCACACATGCCAGGCAAGCACTCTGTCACCTAGCTACACCCCAGCCTACTTCTTTTAATTAACCTCCAACTGAAAATCATATTTTCTTTCATTTAAGGAGAAACCACATCATTAGTAGCTGCACCTGTCACTTTGCCACCAATAAGGAATCAGAGATATTGTCATACCACATCTTGGTTGTTGCAGAAACTCTGAAGTATCATTCACATTCATCGTATTTGGAATTACAAGTCATGAGAACCACTTTGAGTTAGAGCTTTGCTATTTAAAGCATTGAAAAAGAAACAGGTATATTATCATATCAAACATTTTAAAAATATTTTGAACCTTTTTGTTTTATTTAATAGTTTGACTGAATTTCATTAGAATTGCTTTCCTCTGCTAGTCCATTTGTATTTTATTGCATATTAAACATTATTCTGAGCAGGACTGAATCACAAAAGAGACCAGGAACCCCTGGCCCAGAGCATTTTGGGGGAGAGTTGGACACCACAGGAAACTTTCTACCTGCAGGTTGCAGTTTTGGCCAGATGCACCTTATTATGCCTTAGAACATTTTGGGAGATGGCTCAGGAGGCTAATGCAGGAGGATCACCAGTTCAAAGCCAGTCTCAGCAAAAGCCAAGTGCTAAGCAATTCAGTGAGGCCCTGTCTCTCAATAAAATACAAAATAGGGCTGGGGATGTGGCTCAGTGGTGAAGTGCCCCTGAGTTCAATCCCTGGTACTAAAAAAAAAAAAAAAAAAAAAAAAAAATTGGGAGAATGACTGAGATTAATTATTCAAAATCTGCCTTCCCTGTCTTCGTATCTCTCTACCTATCTATCATCTATTTATTGTGGTACTGTGTTCTACCTCTGACTTACATCTCCACCCCCTTTTTTCTTTTATTTGGAGATTATTTTGTATTATATAATACAACATAATAATATATTGCCAAGGATCTCACTGAGTTGCTGAGGCTTGCCTCAAACTCACCATCCTCCTGCCTCTGCCTCTGGAGTCGCTGAGATTAAAGGTGTGCCCCACCGGGCCTGGATTCCTGGCAATCTCATTGCTAGGCACATCGGAGCCCCTCTGGGTCCTTGGAAATTTACTTCTCTTCCAAAGGGGCTCAGACTTGCCTGTGTTAGCAGTGCCTACCAGAGGCAACTGTTTATTTCCACCACTGCTGGTATGCCAATTCTATTTCTGTAGGCACTTTCGGGGCCATAAAATGGTCAACTTTCCATGTTGGTGGCAAGGCACAGGTGTGGACCCTTCTCCAGGTACCTGGGCTCCCACGGGAAATGATCCACTTGGAGAAGGCGGAGCCTCACAGGACAGCAGGAAGTAGAACATTTTCGCACTTCCTGGTCTGACTGAGGGGGGATGAGGGAGGGAAAACCGCTCCATGTGGTCAGGCCTGGATGTCCTCCCAGGGAGACCCTGCACTCTTGGGTCACCTTCAGTCAGCTCAGTGGGCCCACAAGTCCTCATTTAGACCTGCCTGTGGCTCTAGGGTCCCTCCCAGGAGAGGATAGAAACTGCAGTGCCTAAGTTTCTTGACCTTGGAGTAGGAGACCAACAGCCAATGGTGGGTGTGATCCTGGGCCATCCCCTGGCTCCTGCAGGACAGTCCTCCACCAGGAGGAACTCTCCGCCACCCCCCAGCCACTCTGCTGATGACCTTCCTCCTCTGCTGCTGTGGCCCAGCCCCTCACCTCTCACCCAGACTCCCTGCCCCCGGCCTCCCAGAGGATCTCAGCTCCCATTCCTAACTGGCGCCAGCTGCCTAGCACCTTCTCCTCCCTAGCCTGGCATTCAGGGCTCATGCCATCCCTGTGCCTGCAGCCCTCCCCTCTCTTGCCAAGTGCTTTTACGGTAGCTGGGGCTCCTGTGGTCCCAGGGCATGGCCCGTCCTCTGTCCCTGCCCATCACATAGGCAATGGGCCTGCTTGGCAGCCTTCCTGGCTACCCCACAGTTCTGGCACAGAGCGGGCGTCCCGAACGCTGGTTGAGGAGCACGTGATGCCACCCCAGAGAGGCTGTTGCCATCTGTGCGACTGCTGTGATTTCCCCAGAGCCCCATTGAGTCTGGGCTTTCTAGAAGCACAAGATTGAGTGACAGAATCGAGGTCTGTCCCGCGGCACACTGCAGAGAAGAGAGGCCCTTTCTACTTGTTGTCCGGGTGCTTACCCTCCAGGTGCATCCCTCGGGATGGCCAGGGTCACCTTGTCATTTCCTAGAGTTGTGCCCTGAATTCACTTAAGGAGCGCCACAGGAACAGAGCCTGGCTGCCATCCTTAGGGTCTCTGATTGTGCAAAGGTTACATGCCTTTGTGCCCAGATTCCCATTTGGTCACTTACCATGGGACTCTGCCATGGCTGGCTGTATCAGGAGGGCCTGCAGGTCAACATTTCACTACTGAGGCTTCCTCAGAACCCTTCCAAAGTGCCACATCCATTGAGAGTGAGAAGGACTCTTCAGGTTTGGAGACCGTGTCTAGCCTGCCAGGAGGGAGGGACGTGCAGGAGGCCCTGGCTGACCGAGGCAGAGGCAACAGGACAGCTTGCACCTCTCTCCTTGCTCTGCTCAGCCTGAGTGTCACCCAGATCCTTCTGCTCCTGCTGGGGTGAGATGGGGGCTTGTACTTGGCCTCATATAGGCCCCAAACCACCAGGGGACAGGACAGGGGGCTCCGTCCACAGTGGATGGAAATGCTGGAAGCTGAGGTGGCCCAGACCTTGGCCTCCTTGTAGCCACAGTGGCGGCTGAAGGTGCTGTTCTGGTAGCTGAAGCGGCAAAACCTTGGAGCCAGCCCAAGGTGGCTTCTGTCCACTACTGTACACATAATGGCCCAGGTCCTACAAGGCTCTCCTGGGGTTCCAGGTCACCAGTTGGGATTGGGGGAGGGGATGTGGGCTTTGACTCAGCAGGAATAGGAGTTTTCACAGACGGAAAACCACCCAAGGCTGGGGACACAGAGTTCCAGCCCTGGCTTTCTTGAGGGCAGGCACAGGGTGTGGAGGGGCGAGTTTGAGTTGGGTCAGAGTTGGGAAATTCAGCTTCTCTCATTGTCCAATAGCCCAAGGGGCTAACGAGGAGAAACCCTGGCCCCTGACCCTGTCCACACTTTTAGGCCTTTATTGACCTATGCAAGGACACCCAACTCTGCCAACCAGGGCTCAGCTCCTCAACCTGGCATTCAAGGCGCCTGTGACTTGGCCCGGCCCCATCGTTCAGGGCGTCCCTTTTCCTCTAGCACCCTCACATTCTTGTCCCCTCTTCTCTCACAGCGCCACTAAAGCCCCTTCCCCAGTCCTGACCCTCCGAGCCCGCTGCTTATCTCAGTAGGCTCCCTAAGGCAGCAGGGCGAGGCTGGCAGGGTCCAGGCCACGGTGGGCTCCACCTAACCTGTGTGACCTTGCGACGGTCCCTGAACGGAGGGAGCCGCTTTCCAGAGGAAAGGGAGGCCAGCGCAGCGGAAAGGACAACAGGAGAGCCGATTGCAGTCCCTAAAACAGGCTCTTTAATAACATTATGTCTTCACTGAAGAGCTTCGCTTTTCCCACCAGCGCCAGGCTGGGGCCAGTGGGCGTGGCCAGGCCGCCGGGGGCGTGGCGTCCGCGGTGGGGCGTGGCGGCGCGCTGCGGTTCTAATAGAAGGAGTACTGGTTCTCCACGGCGCGCGCGCGGCCCGGCGCCGCGTCCGGGGTCTCATCCGGGGCGCTGGCCGTGGCCTCCAGCAGGCGCTCGGCGCTGTTGCTGCGGCTGCGCGCGCTAAGCGGGACCTCCGCGGGGCGCGGGGGCGCGGGAACCGACGCTGCTGAGGACGATGAGGCGGACGAGGACGAGGCACCAGCCGCATCGGAGGGCGAGGCGGGAGGGCAGGTGGCAGAGACCAGGCTGGAGAAGTAATGCTGGCCGGCTGACTCGGTCCAGCAGGCGGAGGGCGCGGGCATGGTGCTGGGCGACGGCCCGGGGTCTGCAGTGAGAGGTCGCGTGGCGTCAGCGCCCAGCCGGAGGCACCCACGCCCCATCCTCCCCGGCCCAGGCCAGTCAGGCAGGTGTGCAGAGTTCCTGGCTGGGCCGTGAGGCCCTGGAACGCATGGGGACCCAGGGCCCTGGTTTAGGTGTCCACCTTTGAACACTGGCCCTATGCAAGTGGTGATGCGCGGACACAGATAGCGTACTCCTCTTGCGTATGCGGACACCCCCTACACCACCCAGCTAGTGCTTCCTCCCAAGAGCTGCGCGCTGAGCCCCAGCCCATGCAGAGCTCCAGAAAACCCGCCTGTGCTGCCCCTGAGCACCCCCTCCACTTTCCAGGGGTCACTGGGACCTATTTGTTGTGGGGCTGCCTCCCTATCTTGATATCTGATGCCCCCCACCCCCGTCCCCCCATAGCTCACAATAGCTATGGCCAGGCTGGGGGAGGGAGCGCCTTTGATACTCTGGGTCAGGGACTAGCCATGCTGGGTGGCCACCTGCCTGCTTGTCTTCCTAAGCGATCACACGGGCCAGGTAGAGGCATCTTACCAGGTGGGGGGCCCTGGGCCCGCACATAGCTGCGCAGGGTGATGTCGGCGGAGCCCCCTGACTCCAGGGGAATGGGGTGGGTGTGGAAGTGGCGGAGCATGTCAAGCACGGACTGGAACCATAGGTGCTGTACATGGCACTGGCCGTGGCCATTCAGGGACAGGCGCAGATGCTGTGAACACAGGCAGGTGGTCAGTGGCAGGGTCCTGGGCTGGTCACCTGCTTGTCTAGTGCCTTTAGGGGTTGTTGGAGGACTAAGTCTCAGTGAGACAGACGGCAGTGCTTCTCACACCTGAGCCCCGTCTGGAGGTGGGGCCACTCCTGTGGTGTAAGTGGGGGAGGGGAGCAACAGAGCTGGGTTGGGATTGAAGGGTTGTCGCCAGGCTGAGAGCACCCACTCTGTGCCCGAGCCCTTGCCCTTCACATCCCATCTCCCTCCCAAATCCCAGGAGATAGGGATCATTGCCTCCATATTAGAAATGTGGAAACAGGAAGGGGGAGAGACTCGCCCAGTCACAGAGCACAGAGCTGGGAGCACTTCCTCCAAGCCCAGTGGGTCCCACCTCAGCCTCCTCTCTGGGCAGAGCAGGGCCCCAGAGGCAGGTGGAAGCAAGGCAGATGCTTCTCACTCTTCTTTCATTTATTCTCTGAGGGGAAGAGCTGCCTCGGGGACAGTAGTGCTCTTCCTTCTCTGTGTCAGTGGAGGGTCCTGCTCTACCTGCCACTAAGACCTAGAGTGATCAGTTTCACTCTGGGGGAATGGCAGCCAGCCAGAGGGGAAAGGCAGATTCAAGGTTGCCTCCTGCCCATCCTGTTTCCCCCTCCATGCTGCCTGGTGGGCTGGGCCCCATCCTAACCCCTGGCTTAGGCATGTGCAGGATCCAGGCCCTCCCTGGAGGAGTGCTGGCCACCAAGTGACCTGTGATCCTCTGGGGACAGTGTTAAGCGCCTGGCTGTCAGAAGACCTGCTAAGGCAGGCTGCCTTCCAAGGAGGTGTCGGGCAAGGGGCTGCCCAGGAGAGAGGCCTGGAGGTCACTGGAGGGCCAGCTGGGGCCAGCAGACAGACGATGACCACCAGCTGCAGACCTGGAGTCCTAGGGCACCCCCTCTTGCAGCAGGGACTGACGGGAAATCACATCCTAGAAGGAGCCAGGGCTGCGGCTGCTTCCTTATCAGAAACACGAGTCTGGTGGGGGTGGGGGGCACGGAGGTTCCTGCCCACTCTGTGACTTTTCTTGCCATATTTTTCTTGGCCCCATAGGTCATCATGGCCCATGGTCCCTTCCTGGGTGGCACACCTCTGCTCACTTTAGGCCCTGTCTGGTCACCTTCCTATTTCTGCCGCAGCGATTCTTACCCTCTGCACACCTCAGACCAGGGTCCCCTGCTCTGCCCCCTAGGCCTGTGCACCCTCCTGCCCCACCCAGCACCTCCCCTCCAGTCTGCGCTTTCCTTCCCCTCACTTGTCTGAGCACAGGCCAGGTCCAGGAGGGATTGGTAAAGTGACCAGAGCAGGGAAGAGGCGCTGTCGAGGCGCGACCATGAGGGCCTCAGCTAGCCCCAGCCCTGCATCCAGGTGGCTCTGGGTGGAGGCCCTCGGAAGCCCCGGTGCTGTGTGATCCCCAGTGCACAGGTGCCCAAACGACTTGCCAAATTGGTTCTCAGAAGGGCCTGGCGTTAGGTGCCCTGTCACCAACAGGTGGCTTCCCTAAGGGCAGGAGTGAGCCTGATTTGTGGAGAGTCATGCCACACCTAAGCCTCACGACCAGGGCCACCTTGGCACCCGCCCCAGGGTGGTCGCTCTACCCGTGGATTCCTATGCCACTTGCCTTGGCTTTGCCCTGGAAGTTGAAGGTCAGCACGTACTCCCCAGGCCGCGTCTCACTTTGGCGGATCACGAAGAGGCCGTGGCTCCGGGGTCCACCTGCCAGCACCAGCTGAGCGGCCTTGACCCGTGACAGCGTCCCATGGAACCAGGGATAGTCGGAGAGCTCCAGCTCTGGCTCAGCCTCGGGATCCTGCTCTGCGGCTCCTTCCTCCCCTGAGGAGCAACAGTGTGAGGGTGATGGAGAGGGCGGGGCAAGCCAGAGAGGAGCGAGGAGAGGCAGCTGCTTTGGTTTTGGTAAAATGCTGCTTGGTTAATTTTAGAACTGGGCAGGGAGCTGATCCCCCATCAGGTATCAGTACAAGGTGAACTGAGAGCAGAGGGCAAGGGCTGGGTCCCTCTGCAAGTCGGCAACCAACCTGGGAACAAATCAAGTCCCCTGTCCCCCCACAGTTCCAACCCTCTGCACCCCATTCCATGAGCGTCTTCTATGGAAACCAGGCCCAATGGGAAGGACCAGGTGCCAACAAAACCCAGAACGGCTGTGGACCAGTGGGAAGAAATGGCACCGCTTCAAGGCTCAGCAAGGGCTCCACAGGGTACCCAGAGGTCCCCGTGGCCAGAGCAGGGACCAGGAGGGGAGAGATAGGAGAGCCAGCTGCCCCGGTACCTGCATTATTGCCATCACTGCCACTGCCACTGGGGGACTCCAGGGTCTGCAGGAAGGTCTCCAGTGGGACATGGAGCAGGGACTCTCCGACGGCCTCTCGAGCTCGGCTGTGTGGGGCTGTCACCACGGCGCCCACAGCTGCCGTTATGTCTTGGGGTCCTTGGGGTCGGGGCGGGTCTGCCGCTGGGAGAATAGCAGGTGAGAAGCTCGTTCCTTTATCTGTCACCCCCCAGCCGCCAGCCCTCCCACCCTGTCACCTGTGACTCAGCTCTGCCCCCTCCTACCATCTGTCAAGAGCTCACAGCTGCAGGAGGCCACGCGGCTGGCCAGGCAGGCTCCCCGGGCGCAGGACAGCTCGGCGTCTTCCTCGCTGTCGCTGTGGAGTTGAGAAAGCACAGCTGTGTCCTGCCGGGACCTGGACCCACCCCAGCTGCCCCTGCAGTGGCTGATAGTCACGTGACCAGCCTCACCCTAGGCTGGCTCTGTGGCCACCATATGACTGACTAGAGGCCACCAAATGGGTACAGTGCCCTCTGAGGCTGTATGCCCCCTGCCCCCTAATAAGGGCTTGGTGGTGGGCGGGGCCTGGTCAGCTTCCTTGGCCCCCAAGGCCTTTGTCTCCCCATTTGTAAAGTGAGGTGTCTGGGGCCCTCCAAGCTCTACAGTTCTGTAAAGAGAGAAGGCCAGGAAGGAGTTAGCAGAGCAGATGGCGGGCAGGGTGGCAGGGGAGGGATTACAACCACTTTGGGGATCAGGGCCTGGGAGGCACTCAGGACTTTAATTGTGCTTCCTTAAATGAAGCTGTTAATTAGAAAGCAGCGGCCCCTCCCCCAGGGCGGCTCACCCCATTAGCCAGAAGAGCACTGCCAAGTGTGCGGCCCTCGGCTGGCCTGCCCCTCCTGCTCCTGGCCTCAGGATCTCTCCTAGATGGTGGAGTCAGCCTCCCTGCTACTCTCCCTGGACAGCTGACCAGAGCTGCTCCCTGCTTATGATCCGCCATGGCTCCCTTCTGCCCTGACCTACTAGCTTCCTGGGCTCTCATGAGAACCTCCTGCACGAGCCATCCTGGAGGTCTTAACAGCCCCTACAAGTCCCAGGCTCTTGGTACACATGGACACCTTTTGTGGGTTGTTCTTTCTGCTTTTCTTCACCCCGTCTGCGGGCTCAGGCCTGCTCTTCTGCTAAGCAGCTGATTAGGTGAGCACCTTTACCACAGGCCTTCCCCGGCTGCGGCTGGGTTAGGGGCTTCTCCCAGCCCCCTGGGCTCATCACGGCCCATCTCTTGGTAGTTGGAGGCTCCCCTGAGGTGAAGACAAGACGGGGGCCAATCTTTCCAGGTCCCTAGACCCTGGCCCTCCAGAGCAGGCCCCACAGAGCCCACAGGTGGTCAGGATGGGGTCAGGGCATGGGGAGCCCGCCAGCACCAACCTGGAGGGCACCAGGATGAGCGAAGCCCATTTCTGGAGCTTAGCTCCTGCCCTGCCCTAGAGGCTGCTCCCTGTGTGGTCAGGACCAAGGGCCCAACCTGTCCCCCTCCTGGGGCCACTCCAGCACTCACCCAGGGTCCACGCAGCCCTGGATGTCGGCCACCCAGGAGTGTTTCTGCAGGGAGTCGATGGTCTCCAGGATGTACTCGGCTCCGTTCTCCACCTGGGAAAGAGGGCGTCAGGGTCTGGGCCAGCGCCAGCATCCCTCCCCTTGGCAGGGGGCTCCAGACCCAGGATGAATGTGCATGTGACTCGTGGGGGTGAGGAGGCAGGACAGTGGGGCCATCACCAGGCACCAGCCCAAACCAGGGCCAGGGCCCCAGGGGTGCAGCCCAGCTCCACGGACCTGATGTCCTCAGGCCCTGGAGCTGCAGCCTGGACAGTGGCCTGGACCCCCAGCATGCTGAGTTGAGGGGCTCCCCTGCTTTTGCACCTGGAACTTTACCAATATGGCCACACTCCCCAGAGAAGTCACCTCCAGAGGGCCCTTGTGAGAGCTAGGGCTAGTGTGATCCTACCCCACAGCTCATCCGATAAGCTTCCACCAGCTCCATGGCTGGGGGCTGATGTCCTGTCTCCATTTTATTAATTTGTTTTATTGCAACAGTGGGGCTTAAACCCAGGGGCATGCTACCACTGAGCCATTTTCGAGCCCTTTTAATTTTTTATTATGAGACAGGGTCTCACTACGTTGCCCAGTCTGGTCTCAAACTTGTAATTCTCCTGTCTTAGCCTCTCGAGTTGCTGGAATTGCTGCTGTGTGCCACCATGCCTGGCTTGTCCCCATTTTATAGATGATGATGACTGAGGTTCAGAGAGAGCAAATAACTTGCTTAAGTCACACAGCAATCAGTGATAGTGCTGGGACCTTAACCCAAGTCTGTGGGTTGCCCAGGCCTCATGCTCTTGGCTTTTTGTCTGTATAAAAATACAGTATTGGCTTGGGAGGGTCCCCAGAGACCCCTCTTTAATCTCTCTCTGAACATACGGGGAAACCGAGTACCATTATGGAGCTGGCAGGCAAGTCCCTCCGCCTCAGGGCTTGTACAGGGGACACCCCGCAGATGGGAATGCCAGGTGGGCAAGGGCTGTGTCCTCAGCCCCCCAGCCTGGGGTGACTCAGGGTACAGGGTGGGAAGATGTTTGCCCAATGCATTAGTGAGTTCGTGACTAAACACACAGGGATGGGTGGGTAAATACACACCCCCGGGGCCTGGAGAAGAGGGTGGGGGCTTCATGTGGCTTCGGGTGGGTAGGACCGGGCATCCCTGGAGACTCTGCCTCATAAACACTCTCTGATCCTTCCAGGAGGCACAGGGACCGCAGCCCTGGCAGCCCAGAGCCCTGTCCTCAGTAGACCAGCAGGCCACCCCAGGGAAGGTGGGGCCTGGGAAAAGGATGGGGTGCCTCCCGCCACCTGCAGTGCCTTTGTGCCCTCTGTGGGCCCAGGCCGGTTCCCACACTCCAGTGCCCTGCGACAGGAACATTTGCATAACTGCTGCAAGCTAGCCACCAGTTCCTGCCTGGGGGGTGCATGTGCCCTGGCTCCAGCAAGGAAGGGAGGGGAGGAAATGAAACTCACCCAGGCCTGGAGGAAATGGGACGGGGTCCAGATGGCCCCTGGTGCCCGGCCACCTACCTACCCAGAGCCCAGCCCCAGACTCGGGTCCTGGGTAGGTGCGAGACATCTGTCCCAGGGGCTTCCTCCCCCCATTGCCCTCAGCTGGCCACCCAGGAGGGAGGTGGTCTTGGGCAGCCAGAGGATCATCAGGACCAGGGTGGGGTCTCACCTTGAGCACGAACGTGTTGTCTTTCTCAGGCATTTCCAAGGGCATGGTGGTGCGGACCTCAATGATGGCCGACAGAGGGATGCTGACCTTGGGCCTGGAGGCCTAAGAGGCCAGGGGAAAGGTCAGTCAGGGCTGCCCCAGGGCCTCCCGACACCCTCTCTACCTCTCCTAGCTCTCGGGGATCAGAGCAGTCCCCAGCGTGGAACTGCTGTGGTCACCCTGGCATAAAGGTGTCCTAGTCCCCAGTTCACAGATGGGAAAGTTGAGGGAGGCAACGAGGGATGTCCCACTGTGGTCATGCAGCAAGTCAGGGACTGGACTGAGACTGACGTCTGAGCCTCTGACCCGCAGGTCTTGAGGGGTGAGCCCCACCTGGGCTGCCCCCCGCCTCACACCTCCTCCAGACCTGTGGTCTTCCCACTTTTGACCTTGACCCACAGTAAGAAATGCACTTGACGCTGCAGCCCAGCATGCACCTACCCAGGTAAAAGTATCTGAAACCAGCGTCCCACTGGGCGACATTTGCCCTGCGTGTGATGGAATGTGGTGTTTTCTATTCTCTTCTAGTTCATTAAAAAGAAGAAGAAGAAAAGCTGGCCTCCTGCTTCAGGTGCCTCAGAACAGGGCTCTGGAGCAGAGCAGGGCCCTGTCCCCAGCTGTGGGTAAAAGAGACTAGTGTTCCCAAGGCCACCGCAGGGGGACCCAGGGTGCTGGCAGGTTCCCTAGGTGCCTGGCTCTGTGTGCTCTGCCCTAAAGCTCCTGGCCGTGGCCTTGGATCTGGGACTGGGATTCCCGGAGGGTTCGGGCTCTAGGACAGGGACTTTCTAGGAGGAAAGGGAAGGACCACACATTCGGTGGGCAGGCAGCAGGGAATTCCGGGTAGGCCTGGCCACCGTCCAGTGGCTACAGGGCTGGGCTGGGAGCCGTGACCCAGGGGCTTGGCTGGGCAGGGTGTCAGGCCATCAGAGTAGCCAGTGGGGCTGGGGGTCCTGGTGGTCATGGGTGGGTAGGGCAGTGGAGGTTCCTGCTGGCTGGAGCCACTGTGGTTCCTCGGGCTGGCGCCTGGGGCCAGCTGTACTGGGGCAGCTGGTCCTGCCAGAACTCCTGTGCTCCTTCCCCACTGTCTTTGGCTCCCTCAGCTCACGCCCTGTCCCTGTCCCCCTTTGGGCAGCTCCAGTGTCTCTCCCGGGGCCCCAGGAGCTCACTCTATTAAAGTTTGTATCCAGCCTGCAAATGTGGGTTTCCTGGTGGCAACCCAATGGCAGAGGCCAGCCCCACTGCTTCTTGGGTCCGTAAGTCTGGCCTGGAGTAGGGTTGAGGGGACCTGGGGTTCAGGAGACCCTTCCTGCTGGGATGAGAGGGCAGGAAGCCAGACACTTGGGCTGGGACACCCAGCCCAGGCCCTGCGCCTGCAGACCCCACACTCCCGACTGCTCTGAGGTGCAGCCAGTGCCCAGAGGTGAAGGGAGATGCAGACCTGGGGGGTGGCCCAGCAGTGGGGTGTCAGCAGGGGTGCTCTGGGTGCTCTTCCACCCTGTGGCCAGACACATTTGGAAAACCTAACCTGAGCCCTTAGCATGTTCTGGGGTTTGGACGTGGTTTGCTCCCCAAGGGGACCTGTGCTGGAGGCTGGGTCCCCACTCTGCCGCTATCAGGAGGCAGTGGGACCTTTAAGAATTGGGGTCTGGTGGAAGGTGGCGGGTCACTGGGGGCACTGCCCTGGGAAGAGGTTAATGTAGTCTCCAGGGCCCCTGGCGCTGTTCCAGGAGGGAGATTGATTGCTCCATAAACTTGGCCTTCCCGGCATGCAGCCATTTCCCTTTTGCCTTCTCTGCTGTGTTGTGACAGGCCAAGAAGATCCTCAGCAGAGACCGGAAACGTGGAGCTTCCTGCTCTTGGACTTTCAGCCTCCAAAATTGTGATGAAGAAATCTCTTTTCTTTATCGAATATCTAGCTTCAGGTATTTTATTATAGCAACAGAAAATGCCCCCTGGTGTGATCCACCCTTCCCCTGGGAGCACTCCCAAATACCAAGATATGTTCCAATGTTTGTGTGAAGATGAGGAAGACATTATGGGGTAGAAACACATTGGCCTTCCTCAGAGGTTGTGGAAGGGTCCTGTGACCCTTCAGGAACCTGCCTTCTGACAGTGGTAAAGCTGGCAGGTTCTGCAGAGACCAAGGCAGAGGGCACCAGCTGCTGCGTCCCCTCCCCCAGGCCAGCAGACACAGCTATTTACAGACAGACAGCTGTGACTGCCACTCAGGGGTGGAGGGGGTAAAGCCTTGGGCCTCTGCCCTGCCCTCTGGGTGACCTTGGGTGAGCCCCACCTCTCACGGGGCCTTGGTCTCCCTGTCTGCCAAGGGGTGGAGTTGGGCTTAGTGGCTATGATTTCTCTCAGGGACCTAAGGGGACTGACAAAGAGTCCTTGTAAAGCCTGGGAGTTCTGGGACTTGGGGAGAAGCTCTTCAGAGTGTCTCAGGGAAGTCACCTCTCTAGAGCCCTGTGGCTCATGAGCACCTGTCCTCGGGGAGCCCACACACCTGCACTTCTAGGAGGGGTATACTGAGTTCCCAAGAAACTCAGGCGGGCCCGGGGGTGGCTGGGAGCCTGCGTGGGCCCCCGAGGGGTGTTGTCAGTTTCTATACCTACTCAACCTGTGTGCCAGGAACCCCACCCCCACTCCTTTCAATCCCAAACACCAGGGTGATGGGTATAATTAGCCCATCTCTGCCACCCACTGGGGATAGGCCACACCCCTTTTCTGGGTATAATAAGTTTGTGTTTTCTTCTGTGACCTGGGGACCAGGTGCCCACCTGACTGGGGTACTGGGAGGAGGACATCTTGTATGTGCACATGGCCACCAGCCTGAGGGCTGGGCACATGGTGGGATCTCAGGAAGTGAGTACTAAGGGGACAATCATTCCCACTTTACTAACAAGCAGGCTTGCCACTTGGAGAAGGCCCAAGCTACTGTCAGTGTTCTGATGGCCAGTCCCCAAGAGGGCCAGGGGCCAGTGCACTCAGACAGTGAGCAGAGACGCCCAAGAGGTGGTGACGGCCAGTGAGAAGCCTTGCCTTCCTCTGGCTGGAAAAGGGCCACTGGCAGAGCAGGGCTGGAGCCTGGCAGCCCAGAAGCAGGCCTCCTGGGGCCCCTCTCTGAGTGTGCTCTGTCACTGCCTGTCCCTCATCCAGCAGGCCTCCTCGCTGACCAGTGCCTTCCCTGGTGCCAGGGTGAGGAGGAAAGGAGGGCAGGCGGCCAGCCAGGCTCCTTAGCACCCAGGCGCGGTTCCCTTTCCTGGTTCACAGAGGAAGGGTGGGGTTTACCCAGGAGGCAGAGCTGGGCCAGCATCCCGGGTCCTGGCACCACTGGCTCCACCCTATCCATCTGATGAGGCCACTGGGTCCTCAGCCAGAAGCTGGTGGAGCTGCTGCCCTCCTCTTCCTCCATCCTCCAGGGTACAGGGAGAAGCTCACCTTGGGCGGCACGAAGAACTCCAGGCGGAAGCGTTCCCCAGCAACCGCCCTGCGTAGGAGCAGGCGGCACTTCTGCCACTGCGCGGCGCCCCCAGGGCCTGTGGCTGCATCGTCCGCCACCATAAAGCGCAGCGCACCCTCGCGCTGAATGTCCACCAGCTCCACCTTGGCCGCCAGAGTCCGCGATAGCCGAAGGCGCCGTGTCCACTTGTCACGTGGCTCCGCAGGGGGCTCAGCGGCCCTCGGGGTGGCCCCAGCTTCGGGCTCAGGGGAGGCACGCCGGTGCCACATGTCCCGCACACCGTCCACCACGCACAGGCTCATGTTGCGCAGGGAGAAGCCCTTGCGGACCCGGGCCTTGGCCGCCACGTGCGCCGACACGTCCTCCGAGCTCCGCGAGTGGCCATAGGCCGTAGTCTTGAGCGCTGAGGTCCCCACGGGCTCAGGCTCCATGGCGTTGGCGCGCTCAGGGGTCCCCCGCGACGCTGGCCCTGCCACCAGCATGCGGCGCACCTCCTCGCTGAAGACGTCCAGGAAGTTGGCGGTGAAGTGGCGGGAAAAGGAGGTCCCGGCGTCCGGCGTGTCGTAGGCCGGGTTGTCCCGCAAGAAGCGGCAAAACTTGTGCGCGAAGTCCACGGCGGCCACTTGCGCATGCAGCTCGCAGAACTGCCGCCAGTCCGGGACAGGGACCGGGGTAGCGGCGGCGGCGCCAGGGTCGGCACCGTTCATGGCTCCCGTCCCATTGTGGTATCCTGCAGCTGTGGGGACAAGAGCAGCAGTGACCTTCTGACCTCTGACCTGCGTGCCCATCTGTCACCTCCTTTGGGCAGCAGGGCTCCCCAAGGCTGTGCATGTGAGTGCTGCAGACTGCTGCCCTCAGCTGCTAGAGCAGCCGGGAAGCGTGAAGAGGAAGGAAACAGAGGACAACGTGGTGTCCCCAGGGAAGGGAGCCCCCACATTCATATCCTTCCAAACAGCAATCTCAGGGAACCCCAGGGTCATTCCTGTGGTCTGCAGAGGAGGCTGGAGTGACAGATGCCTTCAAGTGGGGCCCCTATAAGCCTTCAGTGACCTCACTTTCCTCAGTAACCTCTTCTAAGGTCCCCAAAACCTGGTGGGCAAGAAGAAGTCACACACAATCCAATTGGCTCTGCCTCTGAAATGGGCAGAGAGCCCAGCCAGCCCTTGGCCACTCCTCCACAGGCTTCCGAGTCCTTCCCAAGCCTGGCATGGTGGCCTCTAATTCCAGTGACGTCTTGGGAGGGCAAGGCAGGAAGACTGCAAGTTTGAGACCAGCCTCAGCCGCTTAGCAAGACCGTGTCTCAAAATAAAAAATAAAAAGGGCTGGGGATGTGGCTCAGCGGTAGAGCTGCCCAGAGTTCAACCCCAAGTTCAGGGGGAGAAAAAGAAAAATCCGTCCCTTGCCTGCAGTACTTCAGAGTGCCTTCACCTGTCCAGCGAGCCTGACCTCAGTCTCTAGTCTGCTTTCCACCAGGACCCCAGTCACCATTAAAACACAGGACACATTTGGTCCCTTTGCCCTCAAATCCCACCAAAGCTGGGAGCAGAAGTCAGAGTCCTTCCCGGCTCCCCAGGCCTGGCAGCAGCTACTGCATTTACCTCTGTAGACCCGCCTCCTGCTGCTTGCTCCTGGGTGCCTGCCTACTTGCCATCCTGGAGGTGTGCTGGCTGGGTTCCCACCTCAGGGCCTTTGCTTGTGCCTTCAGTGTCCTCTCCCTCACATCCTTTGGGGCTTTTCTAATATCATTCTGCCCCACTGCCTGGCCTGGACACTCTATTGAGAACAACAAATGTTCCATACTCTCCAGCACAGATGCTCTGTGCCCCCTGCCTGTTTGGAGTCTCCGTGGCATGCACCGTCACCTGACATAGCGTGTGTTTGCTCATCTGGTTGTGTGTCTTCCTCTGCCCTCTTCCTCCAGAAGGCAGGTTTCACAAGGCAGGGATAGTGACAGTGCTGCAAGTCTAAGTGTAGCTGTCCCCAGTACCGGGCACATAGCAGGTGCTCAGTCAACAGTGACGGAATGAAGGAACAAATGAATGTGTTCAGCACACCACGTGGTGTCACAGCTGTCACCACACGGGGCCTGAGGACTTATCAGTGACAAGAGAGGTCTAGGATTCTTATCCAGGTCTTCATGAGTCTGGGACTCAGGGGTCACCTCCCTATATGGAAAGAGCATGGGCCATTTTTCGTGTGTACGGGCATTGAAGGTTCCACCTCCCCTCACAGAGGCCTGCTCGCTGTCCCCTCCAGAACTCCCGGCCAAGCCCAGCCTTCTGGAGGAATCCTCAACCTAGGAATCCCAGTGGCTGCCTCCCCAGCTTCCTTCCTACTGCCCAGCAAGGCCATCCTTCCCCATGTCCAGTCGGTCACTTGTGGGGACTTGCCTCTTGGTCCCCCTAAGTGGCCATTTTCCCCGGGTGCCAGGCCCAGGTGCACACTCCCACCCCCCTCCAGGTCAGGGTGAAAATCACTAAGGGAAAATAAGTGAGGAGCTGAGGCTCTGCCCTGGGGCCCTCCCCCCTGAGGGACCAGCCTGGTGTTGGGATGGAGGGACTGTCCTCCTAAGGGGCTGACAGGGGGCCATGCCCTCACCTGCCCTCCCAGGATCCCTGCAGTTCCCGGCATGCTCCTCTCTCCCAGCTCTGGGGAGCACCATCTCAGGCCTTCCGGGGGAGCTGGGCCCTGTAATTAAGTGCCAGGTGAGGATGCTGCCCTATTTCTGGGGACCACCTGCAGGGCCTCTGTGCTGAGGGCACCCTGGGAATTCCCTCTCCTTGGGTCAGCTTCCATCTGCAGTCGCAAGCCACAGGACCCACCCGGGGAGGAAGTACTGAGGACAGGTTTCCAAACTGGCAGGGAGACTCCTGCCCAGTACTGGGGCGAGGGAGGCAGGAGGTTAGGAAGGTCTGGGCTTCCCATCTGCAGCCTGAGCAATAGCTGCAGTGGGACTTACCAGGGCTTTAGATTTGGGGGTGGGGGTGCTGAATCCATGAAAATGGGGGTCAGTGCTTGGGCCTGACCTTTTCCCTGCCCTGCTGCTCCTCCTCTCATCCCTGGATAACTCCTACTCACTCTTCTAGAACAAGTCCAGGGGCTGCTTCCTCCAGGAAGCCTTCCTGCCCCTCACCCCAGGCTGGCACTGGTGGCTCCTCTGGGCTCCACAGGCCCCTCCTGTGTGTCTCTCCAGCGAGTTCTAGTTGCAGGGTGCTCCCACTGTCTCCCGACCTGGCACAAGCACTCCTTCAGGGCCAAGGCAGGTCTAGGTCATACCCCAGACGGCTGGCTCTTGCTCCTTCCCCTGGGGACAGAGGCAGCAGCACACCTGCCAGCAGTCAGCATGGCCTCCAGAGAAGGTGGGGAGGCAGATCCCCAGGGGCACTTCCTGGGGGGTGGGCTGCAGCTAAAACCACAAGGCCCTGTCCCAGGGCCCCAAGCCCATCCATATATCCAGCAGGCCAGGGCCACAGTGGCCATGTCCCCTCCCCCTCACTCCCGCGTACTACTGAAACCTCTACAGGGGTCAGAATAGGGAACAGGGCGGCTCAGGAAGGCCAGGTGAAGCAAGTGAGCCCTACATGGAGCGGTGGGGCAGGCAGGGGCCATCCATTCCCTGTCCCTCCCACTCTTCCTGCTGGCTGGGAAAAATCTCCCCAGGGAGAAGGGATGGAGTCAAGGGACAGGGCCCTGGGCAGGCTGTCACATGTGGGTGCAGTTGGCCCTCATGGGGAGGGGTGGAACTTGAAGAGGACCCTGCCAAGGCTCTTGGCAGGTGTGGTCATGTCTGAAGCAGGAACTGGTGGGAAGGCACTGGGTCGGGGCTGCCCTGACCACTCCTCCTCAACACTGCTGGCTGGTCAGGAGCCCATGGGCCCAGCAGCCCTCTGTGTCCCTGGGGGCTAAGCAAGGGTCAAGTAGCCAGAGGTAAAAGTCCTCAAGCATCAGGGTCAGCAAGGAGCACTGCACCTAGTTACAGATGGAGAAACTGGGGCCCAGTTTCTCCTCCATAGGAGACAGAGGGGAGGCTGCAGACCACAGGGAAGAGGATCTGGCTATGGCTAGAGTAAGGGTGTGCTGTCCATAACTGTCTTTGGGGCCAGAGTTGGGGAGAATGCCAAGCAGCTGACCTGGGTTCAAGGCCTAACCCTCCTGCTCCCTGAGAAATGCTGACCACACCCCCAATCTCAGAGGTTGTTTTCCTCAAATGCAAATGGGGGGCCCCCTTCCCCAGAAGAGCAGCATGAGAAGTGGACCCTGCAATGTTCTGAGCAAGTGCAGGCTTGGGCAGGCCAGGGTGGTTTCCCCTGACCTCTGGGTGGGGCCAGAAATGTTTCCATCCAACTCAGGGGACCAGCCAGTGTAACATTCAAACAATCACTGTGCAGGGAACTGTGGATCCAGATATGGAGAAAGGAGGGTCCAAGGGGGCGGAGAACCCAGAGGCACCAGAGGCAGGATGGACTGTCACCCTTGCTCCTACTGTCTGGGCTGGCCTTGAAGGTCTGTGAATTGAACTCAGCTGGCCTAGGGCTCCCTGGGCCTGCAGCTTCCCAGTTCTGCCTGTGTTCTGCCCAGGTCACTCCTCCAGCTACCCGAATTCTTCCAGCCTCGGACTGTGCAAAATTCTCTCCTCTTCCAGGGCTGGCCCTGCACTGGCTCTCCCTCCCAAGCTCCATCAACCCTACCGCCCTCAGCCCTCTGGTTTCTGCGGTCAGGTCCCAGCCTTCCTCCTATGGTCCCCAGGGAGCCAGAAAAGGCCTGCTGAACCAGTGCTGGGAGATCCGGCTCTCTAGGACAGACCCAGTGTCTCCCAGGGCCTCAGCTTCCCCTCTGGTAAACAGGGAGCAGTGGTGGCAGGGGCTCCTGATTCTGACGCAGAGGCCATGGCCCTTGGATACCGAAGAATGGGGTCCAGCTGTCACTGCACTGCGGCCAGGAACCGGCTGGGGTTCCCTCCCACCTTCAGTTTCCTCTCTGAGGGCTGGCACTGGAGACAAAGGAAGTCGCCGTGCTCCAGGGATCGGGTGCTGGCCCCAGGGCGCGTGGGCGGCAGACCACCCTCCCCAGTCTATCGCCCCCAGCTTTTCCTAGGCTTGCCTGGGCTGTCTGGCTTCTTCTCCCGGAAAAAAACCGTTTTCTTTTTCTTTTTTTGTATTGGTTCCCATCTTGGTGGGATGGGGCTTCGGAGGGGCGGGGTGGGGGAACCTGATCCAGTCCCTGCTCTCGGCCTTTCCAAGGCCAGTCCTCATCCCAAGGCCAGAACCCGGCCCACGACCCCGGCCCCAAGCTGGGCTAGATTTGCAGCCCCGCCGCCCGCACACGCTCGGGCGGGGGAGGGGGCGGCCGGCTTTCCGCAGGTAAAAATAGCACCGAAAATTGGAAAGGGGGGGGGGGAGCCGGTCTCCAGCACCCCCTCCCCCGCCGGCGCGCAGTTCCGGACCCCAAGGCCGGGTCATTCCTTAAAATATTGATGAGCCAGCGAGGCGCCCCCGCTAATGGGCCAGCGACCAATCGATCCACCGCGCAGTGGGTGGCGGCCTGAGGGCGGGGAGAGGCAGAAGCCCCGCCCACAGACCGCAGGGGCTTGGGTTTCTGGGCACATCGGCCTCCCGCACCACAGGCTACTGTGTCCGCAGAGGAAGGATGGTCCACCGCCCGAGGCAATGATGGCCGCCTGGCACCCTGCAAGGCTGCCCCACACAGGCGTGCTGCCCGGCAGGACGCAGGCAACACACTCACCCCAAGATTGGCCTTTACTTCTGCACCCTCACTCTGCTCCATCCGTGGAGGATCCAGTGTGTGAGGGGGAAGGCGGTCAGAACTAAGGCTCCTCTGTTCGAGGCTGGCAGCGCCACCCTCCAATAACCACTTACTATAGGGAAACTGAGGCCTCCCCGCAACACACCAAGAGGAGGCAAAGCCCCAGTCTGTCTCCCACCATCCTTTGGTCCTAACCATGTCTCATCGTGTCTTTCCTTAGCGCTGGCCTGGCCTGACCACTGGTCAGCACTTGACACTAAGACTGCTCTTCCTCTAGTGCCCCCAGGCCTCTGCAGGACTGTTCCTTTCAGGGGCACCCCAGCTCCCTCTCTGGGTACCCCTGACCATGCAAAACTCAGACCAACGTCCCTCCACCCTGGAGGGACTTCCACTAGCTGTCGGACACTTGGGGGCTGGTTCTTGAGGCCAACCCATCCCTCACCTTCCCAGAAACTGTCTTCATGGGCAAGCTGTGACCAGGGCCTCCTGCCCGGGGGAGGCTACAACTGGAATTCCCCAGCACATCCCACCCAGAATCGGTGCTCACCCTATGTCCCTGGCAGAGTGCAGAAGTGGGCATGATTTTTCTTCTTAACACCCTTGAACCTGCTGGGACTTCGGGGCAGAGTGGATGCAGGTGTCAGGGACAGGTGTGGATTAAGAGTCCTTGAGACCCTGCCTCTGTATGGGTGAGTGGCTGGGGGCCCTGGGTGGTCTTGGCTTTCCCAAGCAAGAAAACGGGGGCCAGGACAAGATGAGGAGCTGGGGTCTGGGGTCTCAAGAGGGAGACCCATTGTATTCCATAGTTGAACTTGACAGTTGGGATGGAACTTCCTGATCCATGACCTGCTTGGAGGAGCATGGCTGAGAGGCAGCTTTTAGAACAGTCCAGAACACCACGGGCTTCTTAAGCAACCCATCCTCTGTCACTGTGTGTGTGTGTGTGTGCACACGCCTGCCCCAGGGGAGCTCTTCTGCAGAGCACCCTTGCTTTTACTGACAACCCTTGACAAGCCTGCTGGCTTTGGAGCCTGAAGACCTCAGTCTCAA